GTTCTCGTATATAAGTGCGCCAGATAAAGCGAGACAATCAATCGGAATTGAATGGCGGACAGAGAGATTGAAGATATAGACGGACGATTGAGTCAAGCACGGTAGTAAGTAAAATGCGTGAATCATTCGTTGAGAATTATAGCGTGTGTTTAACTGACTGTGGAAATTAAGTGTATTGCAAAGTTGTATTGAGAAAGAATAGACTAGTTTTATTTAAGAAAGGACTTCTTTCGCTGAAGTTTCTCGGAAAGAATTTCTACCGGAAATTATCAAACGAGCAGAGACGTAACAATACTAACCCACGCTGAATAGGCCTATTTAGATATTGGGCGTATGTACCGTTTATAACTTTTCATGATATTATTTGGTGTTGCTCCTGTGTGTTTGTCTGACAGACTTCTATTTCTAACGTAGATTTTTCATCGTCATACTTTATTTCTGATTTGGGTAACGTGATTTATCCATGTTAATTTAGAATCATAAATTAATCTAAGAATTTTGCTAACGTGGAAATTTGGAGGGCAGTTGTATTGGTTTGTTTTGTTTTGGATTTCGCTCAAAGCTATACGAGGGCTATCTATGCTAGTCGTCTCTAATTTAGCAGTAAGGGATAGACTAGAGGGAAGGCAACTTGTCAACACTACCCACCGCCAACTCTTTTACCAGCAAATATACCAACTGGTTACCGCCCACAAAGAACATTGCAACCTTGTGTAAGACTGGTAATAAAATTGTCTTTCAACAGTTGCTCAGGTAATATCTAAAGGTTACAGTCATACCTGTGTGTGATGAAAATGACCAAGCACGTGTGTGATAAGCGTGCTGTGTAGGGTAAATGTTTCTTCAGATGTGAGAAACTTTGGCTATTCGTCAGTCTGTATTTGAGTTGTACATCATAACAAAGACTGTTCTTTTTGTTCTACATTTGTCTCTAGTCTCATTAAATCTTTCGACACGGGATCGGTCGATTTGACAGAGTCACGTGATCTTCTGTACTCATTTAACCTGTTTAACATCGATTCAGTTAAGTTCTTGTATTCAATGGTGTTGATCATGGTCAGCTAATATTCGACTTCCAATTTAACCTTTTCTTACAGTGATTATATTATATTTTATTGTTTTTTCTTATCATTATGCAGGACTGTCTTTCCAGGTACTTAGAACTGAACATTAGTAGGCTACTCACTACTAATGCTTATGAATTAGCTATAGCCTAATGTCAGAGCATGTGTGGATTGTCTCAAAATAATATACCTTTAAGTATTCCTTATCTGAAAATGTTTGACTCATTTCTGCTTTTAATAAAGACGATTCTCTTGTACACATCTATTGTGAATCGCAATATCCATAGAAGTGGGGGGGGGGGGTACATGTAATACATTTCTTTAGCGTGCTTATATTCATTATTCATGCCCTATTTGTGTAATCACTATAATATATAAATGGTCTTATGCCATCATATTTTTAAAATGAATTCTGTGCTGAAACTTGTAATAATAAGCGGTACAATTTCTTATTTATCTTCAACAGTAATATTAAAAAGGAAAGACGCAGCACACAAATTAGTTGAAGTATATCTAACGCACCAATGAGATATCTGATTTAAAACTAATTCCAAGGGAACATGCCCCCAGACCCCACTTGCATGATGACGTCTTTCCGACGCATGACCAAATATAACCGACAAAATCGCAATATCGTCCTGTCCCACCGTTATTACTCCATAATCGACAATTTCAGCGAATTTCCTCTTAACCAGCGGACCTGTATCTAGTGAAGCTCAAAATTAAATTTAGTTCATCTGAATATCCAATACTATCAATAACCGGAATAAATAATTAAATAGAAAATATAGGGACTTTTTCAAAAGACTTTTATGTTGTTTTTTTTTCTTTCGTAATCAAGCACATAATTACACAGTGAGATATCTGTGCTGTTCCCACCATGGTATCGAAACTCAGTTTTTAATGTTATAAGCCTTCCGATTTACCGCTGGACCATTGGGGGGATTTTCAGAAACTCATGAGACTGCTCACTGCTGGCATATATGCTGTATATTATAAGGTGATTGTAAGGTAAACTATAACTTTTTTTTTAGGAATACATTTAAATTGTATAAAAAAGAAAAAAAGGTGAAAGTGTACCTATGTTATTTACAAAAGATGAAAACTGACCTTTAATGACCAACAAAATGTGAAAGGTGAACTTTTATGGTAAATGAAAGAAGTAAGGTTACAAAAAGTGGACTTCCAATTGTGATAACCTTTTGTATTTCTTTTGACATCACCAAAAGATGTATAAAACATATTTTTCCATGCAATGTTTGGGTAGTATATCTTTTTATGGAATAGCATAAAAACTGTTTCATTCACCAACTGTTTGAGGTGTGAATGGTTTAACGGGTTAAAAGCATTTACCACTAAGCTTAGTGTACGTGGGTTCTCACCTGTTACAGTACACCACACTTCGCTTACTTAAACGGGCCCGGCATGGCCAGGTGGATAAGGCGCTCGACTCGCAATCTGAGGGTCGTGGGTTCGAATCCCCGTCCCACCAAACATGCTCGCCCTTTCAGCCGTGGGGGCGTTATAATGTGACGGTCAATCCCACTATTCGTTGGTAAAAGAGTAGCCCAAGAGTTGGCGGTAGGTGGTGATGACTAGCTGCCTTCCCTCTAGCCTTACACTGCTAAATTAGGGACGGCTAGCGCAGATAGCCCTCGTGTAGCTTTGCGCGAAATTCAAAAACAAACAATACTTAAACGTTTCATGTCCCCCTTTTAAATAGTCCTTATTGTCCCAAGCTGATCATATCACTTTGTTTTTCAATGCCATGAAGTGCAAAGGATGGGGATGGCACCATCTTGTAAATTATAAATCCTCGATTTAAAAACATCTTTATGATGTAAGTATATTGGTATTTTGCATCAGAAAGGGCTGTTACTTACCCTTCTTAAAAGCGATCCATTTTCGATGGCACCACACCTACGAACGCTAAACAGTGTCAAAATGTTGTTCTTATACATTCTATTCCACCGCCACTATATACTGACTGTGTGTCGTTTTATTATAATGTACTTATCACTCTGTATATTAAACTCCGAAACTGAAATGAAAATAAGAAGAAGTGGAGGCATTAGTTGCTTTAATCCGCAACCAGAAGTTTGGTAACTGGGTAATATTAGTACGAATTTATTAAATTTGCTAAAGGGATAAGTTAAATTTTTATATATTTTTTATTCTATGTACAAATACTTCCAAACAACTAATTTGTATTGTTCATCATTGATACATGTTATGTATGCTCCTAGCGGAGTTATGTTTGGGTTATGATTCTTAATTGCAGTATTACTTTTATTCGCTTTTTTCATATCTATTTCCAATTTTAATTTAACAAAACCTATAAAGTTGCAAGAATTCAAGAAGGTTGATTGACGCGTGACAAATCTTTTTGATTATATAAAGTTTACATTGTAAATATTGGTTTGTTTGACGATGCAGTATCACTTTCCTTATCACATTATTTTCTTCTTTTCACAATAGAGGACAGCAGTTCGACTGCAGTGTTTCCGCTGCATGATGGGATATTTATAATACTTGTGAAGGTGGCTGTTTGTACATAGTGGTTTAAACTAAAGTTAAAGCAGAAGTTATTAATGTACTTCTAATCAATGTGAGAAAGTTATTCAAGATGTGCTAACTTCTATGACTGTATTCTTTCTGAACTGAAGCACATTTAAAAGATTTATAGACCTTTAAAACAGGTCATTAGATATAAAGGTAAGCATAACTACAGTACAGTAGTTAATAATAGTATTAGTAATAGATTGTGACTTTTTTTTTCATATCATTTACTGTTTTTACGTTAGTTTGATGATATGTTACTTAGAGAGGTTTTAGAAATAGAAGAATTTATGTTTAACAGTGACTGTGTCGTAAGTTACACTTAATAAAGTTACATAATAGTATTGCTACGAAATTAATGGTATTATAATAACTATTATATAATTGGATTATTCATATCACTTACTTTGAATATTGCATTGAGTAGTCTGATGCCTAAGCACAAAGCAATAAACTAGCGCTTACTATTACTAGTAGTAGTGCTACTGATAGGCTTATAGTTGTTTATACGATAGTTATATTACAAAAAGTTACTAACTTTTTTACTTTTAGTATGTAATTATTTAACTCAAAATTCAGGCTTTGATTGTCTTAGTTTCTAAAATTCTAAGTTAAACATGCTTTGCTTTTATTCTTTGTTTTCCATTAAACTAGGAATGAGTATAAATTATAGTATAATGTAAATTTGTATTAAGTTAATTGCTTTAGTTGATTTAATTCAATGTACAAAATCATAATGCAGTATGCTATATATAATCTTTAAATATATGTCTCTGTGTGTGTGTGTATATATATATATATATATATATATATATATAC